CCCCCCCCCCCCCCCCCCCCCCCCCCCCCCCCCCCCCCCCCCCCCCCCCCCCCCCCCCCCCCCCCCCCCCCCCCCCCCCCCCCCCCCCCCCCCCCCCCCCCCCCCCCCCCCCCCCCCCCCCCCCCCCCCCCCCCCCCCCCCCCCCCCCCCCCCCCCCCCCCCCCCCCCCCCCCCCCCCCCCCCCCCCCCCCCCCCCCCCCCCCCCCCCCCCCCCCCCCCCCCCCCCCCCCCCCCCCCCCCCCCCCCCCCCCCCCCCCCCCCCCCCCCCCCCCCCCCCCCCCCCCCCCCCCCCCCCCCCCCCCCCCCCCCCCCCCCCCCCCCCCCCCCCCCCCCCCCCCCCCCCCCCCCCCCCCCCCCCCCCCCCCCCCCCCCCCCCCCCCCCCCCCCCCCCCCCCCCCCCCCCCCCCCCCCCCCCCCCCCCCCCCCCCCCCCCCCCCCCCCCCCCCCCCCCCCCCCCCCCCCCCCCCCCCCCCCCCCCCCCCCCCCCCCCCCCCCCCCCCCCCCCCCCCCCCCCCCCCCCCCCCCCCCCCCCCCCCCCCCCCCCCCCCCCCCCCCCCCCCCCCCCCCCCCCCCCCCCCCCCCCCCCCCCCCCCCCCCCCCCCCCCCCCCCCCCCCCCCCCCCCCCCCCCCCCCCCCCCCCCCCCCCCCCCCCCCCCCCCCCCCCCCCCCCCCCCCCCCCCCCCCCCCCCCCCCCCCCCCCCCCCCCCCCCCCCCCCCCCCCCCCCCCCCCCCCCCCCCCCCCCCCCCCCCCCCCCCCCCCCCCCCCCCCCCCCCCCCCCCCCCCCCCCCCCCCCCCCCCCCCCCCCCCCCCCCCCCCCCCCCCCCCCCCCCCCCCCCCCCCCCCCCCCCCCCCCCCCCCCCCCCCCCCCCCCCCCCCCCCCCCCCCCCCCCCCCCCCCCCCCCCCCCCCCCCCCCCCCCCCCCCCCCCCCCCCCCCCCCCCCCCCCCCCCCCCCCCCCCCCCCCCCCCCCCCCCCCCCCCCCCCCCCCCCCCCCCCCCCCCCCCCCCCCCCCCCCCCCCCCCCCCCCCCCCCCCCCCCCCCCCCCCCCCCCCCCCCCCCCCCCCCCCCCCCCCCCCCCCCCCCCCCCCCCCCCCCCCCCCCCCCCCCCCCCCCCCCCCCCCCCCCCCCCCCCCCCCCCCCCCCCCCCCCCCCCCCCCCCCCCCCCCCCCCCCCCCCCCCCCCCCCCCCCCCCCCCCCCCCCCCCCCCCCCCCCCCCCCCCCCCCCCCCCCCCCCCCCCCCCCCCCCCCCCCCCCCCCCCCCCCCCCCCCCCCCCCCCCCCCCCCCCCCCCCCCCCCCCCCCCCCCCCCCCCCCCCCCCCCCCCCCCCCCCCCCCCCCCCCCCCCCCCCCCCCCCCCCCCCCCCCCCCCCCCCCCCCCCCCCCCCCCCCCCCCCCCCCCCCCCCCCCCCCCCCCCCCCCCCCCCCCCCCCCCCCCCCCCCCCCCCCCCCCCCCCCCCCCCCCCCCCCCCCCCCCCCCCCCCCCCCCCCCCCCCCCCCCCCCCCCCCCCCCCCCCCCCCCCCCCCCCCCCCCCCCCCCCCCCCCCCCCCCCCCCCCCCCCCCCCCCCCCCCCCCCCCCCCCCCCCCCCCCCCCCCCCCCCCCCCCCCCCCCCCCCCCCCCCCCCCCCCCCCCCCCCCCCCCCCCCCCCCCCCCCCCCCCCCCCCCCCCCCCCCCCCCCCCCCCCCCCCCCCCCCCCCCCCCCCCCCCCCCCCCCCCCCCCCCCCCCCCCCCCCCCCCCCCCCCCCCCCCCCCCCCCCCCCCCCCCCCCCCCCCCCCCCCCCCCCCCCCCCCCCCCCCCCCCCCCCCCCCCCCCCCCCCCCCCCCCCCCCCCCCCCCCCCCCCCCCCCCCCCCCCCCCCCCCCCCCCCCCCCCCCCCCCCCCCCCCCCCCCCCCCCCCCCCCCCCCCCCCCCCCCCCCCCCCCCCCCCCCCCCCCCCCCCCCCCCCCCCCCCCCCCCCCCCCCCCCCCCCCCCCCCCCCCCCCCCCCCCCCCCCCCCCCCCCCCCCCCCCCCCCCCCCCCCCCCCCCCCCCCCCCCCCCCCCCCCCCCCCCCCCCCCCCCCCCCCCCCCCCCCCCCCCCCCCCCCCCCCCCCCCCCCCCCCCCCCCCCCCCCCCCCCCCCCCCCCCCCCCCCCCCCCCCCCCCCCCCCCCCCCCCCCCCCCCCCCCCCCCCCCCCCCCCCCCCCCCCCCCCCCCCCCCCCCCCCCCCCCCCCCCCCCCCCCCCCCCCCCCCCCCCCCCCCCCCCCCCCCCCCCCCCCCCCCCCCCCCCCCCCCCCCCCCCCCCCCCCCCCCCCCCCCCCCCCCCCCCCCCCCCCCCCCCCCCCCCCCCCCCCCCCCCCCCCCCCCCCCCCCCCCCCCCCCCCCCCCCCCCCCCCCCCCCCCCCCCCCCCCCCCCCCCCCCCCCCCCCCCCCCCCCCCCCCCCCCCCCCCCCCCCCCCCCCCCCCCCCCCCCCCCCCCCCCCCCCCCCCCCCCCCCCCCCCCCCCCCCCCCCCCCCCCCCCCCCCCCCCCCCCCCCCCCCCCCCCCCCCCCCCCCCCCCCCCCCCCCCCCCCCCCCCCCCCCCCCCCCCCCCCCCCCCCCCCCCCCCCCCCCCCCCCCCCCCCCCCCCCCCCCCCCCCCCCCCCCCCCCCCCCCCCCCCCCCCCCCCCCCCCCCCCCCCCCCCCCCCCCCCCCCCCCCCCCCCCCCCCCCCCCCCCCCCCCCCCCCCCCCCCCCCCCCCCCCCCCCCCCCCCCCCCCCCCCCCCCCCCCCCCCCCCCCCCCCCCCCCCCCCCCCCCCCCCCCCCCCCCCCCCCCCCCCCCCCCCCCCCCCCCCCCCCCCCCCCCCCCCCCCCCCCCCCCCCCCCCCCCCCCCCCCCCCCCCCCCCCCCCCCCCCCCCCCCCCCCCCCCCCCCCCCCCCCCCCCCCCCCCCCCCCCCCCCCCCCCCCCCCCCCCCCCCCCCCCCCCCCCCCCCCCCCCCCCCCCCCCCCCCCCCCCCCCCCCCCCCCCCCCCCCCCCCCCCCCCCCCCCCCCCCCCCCCCCCCCCCCCCCCCCCCCCCCCCCCCCCCCCCCCCCCCCCCCCCCCCCCCCCCCCCCCCCCCCCCCCCCCCCCCCCCCCCCCCCCCCCCCCCCCCCCCCCCCCCCCCCCCCCCCCCCCCCCCCCCCCCCCCCCCCCCCCCCCCCCCCCCCCCCCCCCCCCCCCCCCCCCCCCCCCCCCCCCCCCCCCCCCCCCCCCCCCCCCCCCCCCCCCCCCCCCCCCCCCCCCCCCCCCCCCCCCCCCCCCCCCCCCCCCCCCCCCCCCCCCCCCCCCCCCCCCCCCCCCCCCCCCCCCCCCCCCCCCCCCCCCCCCCCCCCCCCCCCCCCCCCCCCCCCCCCCCCCCCCCCCCCCCCCCCCCCCCCCCCCCCCCCCCCCCCCCCCCCCCCCCCCCCCCCCCCCCCCCCCCCCCCCCCCCCCCCCCCCCCCCCCCCCCCCCCCCCCCCCCCCCCCCCCCCCCCCCCCCCCCCCCCCCCCCCCCCCCCCCCCCCCCCCCCCCCCCCCCCCCCCCCCCCCCCCCCCCCCCCCCCCCCCCCCCCCCCCCCCCCCCCCCCCCCCCCCCCCCCCCCCCCCCCCCCCCCCCCCCCCCCCCCCCCCCCCCCCCCCCCCCCCCCCCCCCCCCCCCCCCCCCCCCCCCCCCCCCCCCCCCCCCCCCCCCCCCCCCCCCCCCCCCCCCCCCCCCCCCCCCCCCCCCCCCCCCCCCCCCCCCCCCCCCCCCCCCCCCCCCCCCCCCCCCCCCCCCCCCCCCCCCCCCCCCCCCCCCCCCCCCCCCCCCCCCCCCCCCCCCCCCCCCCCCCCCCCCCCCCCCCCCCCCCCCCCCCCCCCCCCCCCCCCCCCCCCCCCCCCCCCCCCCCCCCCCCCCCCCCCCCCCCCCCCCCCCCCCCCCCCCCCCCCCCCCCCCCCCCCCCCCCCCCCCCCCCCCCCCCCCCCCCCCCCCCCCCCCCCCCCCCCCCCCCCCCCCCCCCCCCCCCCCCCCCCCCCCCCCCCCCCCCCCCCCCCCCCCCCCCCCCCCCCCCCCCCCCCCCCCCCCCCCCCCCCCCCCCCCCCCCCCCCCCCCCCCCCCCCCCCCCCCCCCCCCCCCCCCCCCCCCCCCCCCCCCCCCCCCCCCCCCCCCCCCCCCCCCCCCCCCCCCCCCCCCCCCCCCCCCCCCCCCCCCCCCCCCCCCCCCCCCCCCCCCCCCCCCCCCCCCCCCCCCCCCCCCCCCCCCCCCCCCCCCCCCCCCCCCCCCCCCCCCCCCCCCCCCCCCCCCCCCCCCCCCCCCCCCCCCCCCCCCCCCCCCCCCCCCCCCCCCCCCCCCCCCCCCCCCCCCCCCCCCCCCCCCCCCCCCCCCCCCCCCCCCCCCCCCCCCCCCCCCCCCCCCCCCCCCCCCCCCCCCCCCCCCCCCCCCCCCCCCCCCCCCCCCCCCCCCCCCCCCCCCCCCCCCCCCCCCCCCCCCCCCCCCCCCCCCCCCCCCCCCCCCCCCCCCCCCCCCCCCCCCCCCCCCCCCCCCCCCCCCCCCCCCCCCCCCCCCCCCCCCCCCCCCCCCCCCCCCCCCCCCCCCCCCCCCCCCCCCCCCCCCCCCCCCCCCCCCCCCCCCCCCCCCCCCCCCCCCCCCCCCCCCCCCCCCCCCCCCCCCCCCCCCCCCCCCCCCCCCCCCCCCCCCCCCCCCCCCCCCCCCCCCCCCCCCCCCCCCCCCCCCCCCCCCCCCCCCCCCCCCCCCCCCCCCCCCCCCCCCCCCCCCCCCCCCCCCCCCCCCCCCCCCCCCCCCCCCCCCCCCCCCCCCCCCCCCCCCCCCCCCCCCCCCCCCCCCCCCCCCCCCCCCCCCCCCCCCCCCCCCCCCCCCCCCCCCCCCCCCCCCCCCCCCCCCCCCCCCCCCCCCCCCCCCCCCCCCCCCCCCCCCCCCCCCCCCCCCCCCCCCCCCCCCCCCCCCCCCCCCCCCCCCCCCCCCCCCCCCCCCCCCCCCCCCCCCCCCCCCCCCCCCCCCCCCCCCCCCCCCCCCCCCCCCCCCCCCCCCCCCCCCCCCCCCCCCCCCCCCCCCCCCCCCCCCCCCCCCCCCCCCCCCCCCCCCCCCCCCCCCCCCCCCCCCCCCCCCCCCCCCCCCCCCCCCCCCCCCCCCCCCCCCCCCCCCCCCCCCCCCCCCCCCCCCCCCCCCCCCCCCCCCCCCCCCCCCCCCCCCCCCCCCCCCCCCCCCCCCCCCCCCCCCCCCCCCCCCCCCCCCCCCCCCCCCCCCCCCCCCCCCCCCCCCCCCCCCCCCCCCCCCCCCCCCCCCCCCCCCCCCCCCCCCCCCCCCCCCCCCCCCCCCCCCCCCCCCCCCCCCCCCCCCCCCCCCCCCCCCCCCCCCCCCCCCCCCCCCCCCCCCCCCCCCCCCCCCCCCCCCCCCCCCCCCCCCCCCCCCCCCCCCCCCCCCCCCCCCCCCCCCCCCCCCCCCCCCCCCCCCCCCCCCCCCCCCCCCCCCCCCCCCCCCCCCCCCCCCCCCCCCCCCCCCCCCCCCCCCCCCCCCCCCCCCCCCCCCCCCCCCCCCCCCCCCCCCCCCCCCCCCCCCCCCCCCCCCCCCCCCCCCCCCCCCCCCCCCCCCCCCCCCCCCCCCCCCCCCCCCCCCCCCCCCCCCCCCCCCCCCCCCCCCCCCCCCCCCCCCCCCCCCCCCCCCCCCCCCCCCCCCCCCCCCCCCCCCCCCCCCCCCCCCCCCCCCCCCCCCCCCCCCCCCCCCCCCCCCCCCCCCCCCCCCCCCCCCCCCCCCCCCCCCCCCCCCCCCCCCCCCCCCCCCCCCCCCCCCCCCCCCCCCCCCCCCCCCCCCCCCCCCCCCCCCCCCCCCCCCCCCCCCCCCCCCCCCCCCCCCCCCCCCCCCCCCCCCCCCCCCCCCCCCCCCCCCCCCCCCCCCCCCCCCCCCCCCCCCCCCCCCCCCCCCCCCCCCCCCCCCCCCCCCCCCCCCCCCCCCCCCCCCCCCCCCCCCCCCCCCCCCCCCCCCCCCCCCCCCCCCCCCCCCCCCCCCCCCCCCCCCCCCCCCCCCCCCCCCCCCCCCCCCCCCCCCCCCCCCCCCCCCCCCCCCCCCCCCCCCCCCCCCCCCCCCCCCCCCCCCCCCCCCCCCCCCCCCCCCCCCCCCCCCCCCCCCCCCCCCCCCCCCCCCCCCCCCCCCCCCCCCCCCCCCCCCCCCCCCCCCCCCCCCCCCCCCCCCCCCCCCCCCCCCCCCCCCCCCCCCCCCCCCCCCCCCCCCCCCCCCCCCCCCCCCCCCCCCCCCCCCCCCCCCCCCCCCCCCCCCCCCCCCCCCCCCCCCCCCCCCCCCCCCCCCCCCCCCCCCCCCCCCCCCCCCCCCCCCCCCCCCCCCCCCCCCCCCCCCCCCCCCCCCCCCCCCCCCCCCCCCCCCCCCCCCCCCCCCCCCCCCCCCCCCCCCCCCCCCCCCCCCCCCCCCCCCCCCCCCCCCCCCCCCCCCCCCCCCCCCCCCCCCCCCCCCCCCCCCCCCCCCCCCCCCCCCCCCCCCCCCCCCCCCCCCCCCCCCCCCCCCCCCCCCCCCCCCCCCCCCCCCCCCCCCCCCCCCCCCCCCCCCCCCCCCCCCCCCCCCCCCCCCCCCCCCCCCCCCCCCCCCCCCCCCCCCCCCCCCCCCCCCCCCCCCCCCCCCCCCCCCCCCCCCCCCCCCCCCCCCCCCCCCCCCCCCCCCCCCCCCCCCCCCCCCCCCCCCCCCCCCCCCCCCCCCCCCCCCCCCCCCCCCCCCCCCCCCCCCCCCCCCCCCCCCCCCCCCCCCCCCCCCCCCCCCCCCCCCCCCCCCCCCCCCCCCCCCCCCCCCCCCCCCCCCCCCCCCCCCCCCCCCCCCCCCCCCCCCCCCCCCCCCCCCCCCCCCCCCCCCCCCCCCCCCCCCCCCCCCCCCCCCCCCCCCCCCCCCCCCCCCCCCCCCCCCCCCCCCCCCCCCCCCCCCCCCCCCCCCCCCCCCCCCCCCCCCCCCCCCCCCCCCCCCCCCCCCCCCCCCCCCCCCCCCCCCCCCCCCCCCCCCCCCCCCCCCCCCCCCCCCCCCCCCCCCCCCCCCCCCCCCCCCCCCCCCCCCCCCCCCCCCCCCCCCCCCCCCCCCCCCCCCCCCCCCCCCCCCCCCCCCCCCCCCCCCCCCCCCCCCCCCCCCCCCCCCCCCCCCCCCCCCCCCCCCCCCCCCCCCCCCCCCCCCCCCCCCCCCCCCCCCCCCCCCCCCCCCCCCCCCCCCCCCCCCCCCCCCCCCCCCCCCCCCCCCCCCCCCCCCCCCCCCCCCCCCCCCCCCCCCCCCCCCCCCCCCCCCCCCCCCCCCCCCCCCCCCCCCCCCCCCCCCCCCCCCCCCCCCCCCCCCCCCCCCCCCCCCCCCCCCCCCCCCCCCCCCCCCCCCCCCCCCCCCCCCCCCCCCCCCCCCCCCCCCCCCCCCCCCCCCCCCCCCCCCCCCCCCCCCCCCCCCCCCCCCCCCCCCCCCCCCCCCCCCCCCCCCCCCCCCCCCCCCCCCCCCCCCCCCCCCCCCCCCCCCCCCCCCCCCCCCCCCCCCCCCCCCCCCCCCCCCCCCCCCCCCCCCCCCCCCCCCCCCCCCCCCCCCCCCCCCCCCCCCCCCCCCCCCCCCCCCCCCCCCCCCCCCCCCCCCCCCCCCCCCCCCCCCCCCCCCCCCCCCCCCCCCCCCCCCCCCCCCCCCCCCCCCCCCCCCCCCCCCCCCCCCCCCCCCCCCCCCCCCCCCCCCCCCCCCCCCCCCCCCCCCCCCCCCCCCCCCCCCCCCCCCCCCCCCCCCCCCCCCCCCCCCCCCCCCCCCCCCCCCCCCCCCCCCCCCCCCCCCCCCCCCCCCCCCCCCCCCCCCCCCCCCCCCCCCCCCCCCCCCCCCCCCCCCCCCCCCCCCCCCCCCCCCCCCCCCCCCCCCCCCCCCCCCCCCCCCCCCCCCCCCCCCCCCCCCCCCCCCCCCCCCCCCCCCCCCCCCCCCCCCCCCCCCCCCCCCCCCCCCCCCCCCCCCCCCCCCCCCCCCCCCCCCCCCCCCCCCCCCCCCCCCCCCCCCCCCCCCCCCCCCCCCCCCCCCCCCCCCCCCCCCCCCCCCCCCCCCCCCCCCCCCCCCCCCCCCCCCCCCCCCCCCCCCCCCCCCCCCCCCCCCCCCCCCCCCCCCCCCCCCCCCCCCCCCCCCCCCCCCCCCCCCCCCCCCCCCCCCCCCCCCCCCCCCCCCCCCCCCCCCCCCCCCCCCCCCCCCCCCCCCCCCCCCCCCCCCCCCCCCCCCCCCCCCCCCCCCCCCCCCCCCCCCCCCCCCCCCCCCCCCCCCCCCCCCCCCCCCCCCCCCCCCCCCCCCCCCCCCCCCCCCCCCCCCCCCCCCCCCCCCCCCCCCCCCCCCCCCCCCCCCCCCCCCCCCCCCCCCCCCCCCCCCCCCCCCCCCCCCCCCCCCCCCCCCCCCCCCCCCCCCCCCCCCCCCCCCCCCCCCCCCCCCCCCCCCCCCCCCCCCCCCCCCCCCCCCCCCCCCCCCCCCCCCCCCCCCCCCCCCCCCCCCCCCCCCCCCCCCCCCCCCCCCCCCCCCCCCCCCCCCCCCCCCCCCCCCCCCCCCCCCCCCCCCCCCCCCCCCCCCCCCCCCCCCCCCCCCCCCCCCCCCCCCCCCCCCCCCCCCCCCCCCCCCCCCCCCCCCCCCCCCCCCCCCCCCCCCCCCCCCCCCCCCCCCCCCCCCCCCCCCCCCCCCCCCCCCCCCCCCCCCCCCCCCCCCCCCCCCCCCCCCCCCCCCCCCCCCCCCCCCCCCCCCCCCCCCCCCCCCCCCCCCCCCCCCCCCCCCCCCCCCCCCCCCCCCCCCCCCCCCCCCCCCCCCCCCCCCCCCCCCCCCCCCCCCCCCCCCCCCCCCCCCCCCCCCCCCCCCCCCCCCCCCCCCCCCCCCCCCCCCCCCCCCCCCCCCCCCCCCCCCCCCCCCCCCCCCCCCCCCCCCCCCCCCCCCCCCCCCCCCCCCCCCCCCCCCCCCCCCCCCCCCCCCCCCCCCCCCCCCCCCCCCCCCCCCCCCCCCCCCCCCCCCCCCCCCCCCCCCCCCCCCCCCCCCCCCCCCCCCCCCCCCCCCCCCCCCCCCCCCCCCCCCCCCCCCCCCCCCCCCCCCCCCCCCCCCCCCCCCCCCCCCCCCCCCCCCCCCCCCCCCCCCCCCCCCCCCCCCCCCCCCCCCCCCCCCCCCCCCCCCCCCCCCCCCCCCCCCCCCCCCCCCCCCCCCCCCCCCCCCCCCCCCCCCCCCCCCCCCCCCCCCCCCCCCCCCCCCCCCCCCCCCCCCCCCCCCCCCCCCCCCCCCCCCCCCCCCCCCCCCCCCCCCCCCCCCCCCCCCCCCCCCCCCCCCCCCCCCCCCCCCCCCCCCCCCCCCCCCCCCCCCCCCCCCCCCCCCCCCCCCCCCCCCCCCCCCCCCCCCCCCCCCCCCCCCCCCCCCCCCCCCCCCCCCCCCCCCCCCCCCCCCCCCCCCCCCCCCCCCCCCCCCCCCCCCCCCCCCCCCCCCCCCCCCCCCCCCCCCCCCCCCCCCCCCCCCCCCCCCCCCCCCCCCCCCCCCCCCCCCCCCCCCCCCCCCCCCCCCCCCCCCCCCCCCCCCCCCCCCCCCCCCCCCCCCCCCCCCCCCCCCCCCCCCCCCCCCCCCCCCCCCCCCCCCCCCCCCCCCCCCCCCCCCCCCCCCCCCCCCCCCCCCCCCCCCCCCCCCCCCCCCCCCCCCCCCCCCCCCCCCCCCCCCCCCCCCCCCCCCCCCCCCCCCCCCCCCCCCCCCCCCCCCCCCCCCCCCCCCCCCCCCCCCCCCCCCCCCCCCCCCCCCCCCCCCCCCCCCCCCCCCCCCCCCCCCCCCCCCCCCCCCCCCCCCCCCCCCCCCCCCCCCCCCCCCCCCCCCCCCCCCCCCCCCCCCCCCCCCCCCCCCCCCCCCCCCCCCCCCCCCCCCCCCCCCCCCCCCCCCCCCCCCCCCCCCCCCCCCCCCCCCCCCCCCCCCCCCCCCCCCCCCCCCCCCCCCCCCCCCCCCCCCCCCCCCCCCCCCCCCCCCCCCCCCCCCCCCCCCCCCCCCCCCCCCCCCCCCCCCCCCCCCCCCCCCCCCCCCCCCCCCCCCCCCCCCCCCCCCCCCCCCCCCCCCCCCCCCCCCCCCCCCCCCCCCCCCCCCCCCCCCCCCCCCCCCCCCCCCCCCCCCCCCCCCCCCCCCCCCCCCCCCCCCCCCCCCCCCCCCCCCCCCCCCCCCCCCCCCCCCCCCCCCCCCCCCCCCCCCCCCCCCCCCCCCCCCCCCCCCCCCCCCCCCCCCCCCCCCCCCCCCCCCCCCCCCCCCCCCCCCCCCCCCCCCCCCCCCCCCCCCCCCCCCCCCCCCCCCCCCCCCCCCCCCCCCCCCCCCCCCCCCCCCCCCCCCCCCCCCCCCCCCCCCCCCCCCCCCCCCCCCCCCCCCCCCCCCCCCCCCCCCCCCCCCCCCCCCCCCCCCCCCCCCCCCCCCCCCCCCCCCCCCCCCCCCCCCCCCCCCCCCCCCCCCCCCCCCCCCCCCCCCCCCCCCCCCCCCCCCCCCCCCCCCCCCCCCCCCCCCCCCCCCCCCCCCCCCCCCCCCCCCCCCCCCCCCCCCCCCCCCCCCCCCCCCCCCCCCCCCCCCCCCCCCCCCCCCCCCCCCCCCCCCCCCCCCCCCCCCCCCCCCCCCCCCCCCCCCCCCCCCCCCCCCCCCCCCCCCCCCCCCCCCCCCCCCCCCCCCCCCCCCCCCCCCCCCCCCCCCCCCCCCCCCCCCCCCCCCCCCCCCCCCCCCCCCCTCCCCCCCCCCCCCCCCCCCCCCCCCCCCCCCCCCCCCCCCCCCCCCCCCCCCCCCCCCCCCCCCCCCCCCCCCCCCCCCCCCCCCCCCCCATGGTACAAATGGTGGGTTTAGAGTCAAAGCCAGTTTATCTTTTGATTCCATTAGTTTGCATAAGCTAGACTTACGTTGTTAGTCACAGAGACACGGACGACCTGATTGGCCATAGTATGGATCCGTGGGACAACAGCCAAGTCATCTGACGTCAACTGGGAAAAAAACTCAGTGTTAAGGCAGGACTAGGGACAAGCCGTTGTGGAGTTCTGGGATTCTGGGTCTTCACAGTTGTTGGTCTATGCAAGTTGTATGTGCGTTATCTGATCCACAATTGAGTATTACTGTACATGTATAAATGTTGCTAACTTACTTTAAAAGATACATTATTTGTACATTATACCGCTGAACTTGTGTTAGCAGTTGTTTTAGTTCGCTATTTGTGAATTAAGCTAGAGAAACACAGCCGATGCTTCATAGGTTACTAATGATAATATGAACCTTATATATTTGACATACACCTTTTATGCTTATTGAATCCCTCATAGGTGTCCATTGTTTTCTCGTTTTCCACACCGCGTACATTACATATGATGAGACACAAACAAATGTCAATAGCTGTTCATTAAATTGATATTCTCCAGTTTATCCACTCTCATCATACTCAAAACCAACTGGTCATCAGCAATCCTTCCTCTAAATAGTCTTGGCTCCGCTACAAGCATTATACATATTGATCTAAAATAAGGCAAGAAATCACTACTGTTGCTCAGCGCCTCTCAAATAAAAGCATATCAAACACAATGAGGGTTGTGTGATTAACTGAAAAGGAAGTGCGGCAGACAGGAAAGACAGAGAGACTCACCGAGGCTTGTGAAATCATGTGATACTTGAGCAGCTCCTGCAACTTGTGTTCGGCCTTAAACAAGAGTAAATAGTGAGTTAAATTCACAGCACTAAATGGGATGAAGCTAAAAGCCTAGGCTAGATCAGAGACTGTAAATGCAATGTTGTATAGTGATAACAATGATGGTGGAATAGCCAAAACACTGAAATGTTGTGGACTACACCAGTGTTTTTCAACCAGTGTGCCATGAGACGTTTGGAAATAATCCAATATCTTCATCGGTCCAAATCGTGTGAGAAGATAAAGGCTTTTTTGCACTTGTATGAATCTCTATATTTTGATGACTATGACTTTGCTTTGCTAATAAATGCTCCAGATTTTCTCTTTTGCCCAGGAGTATGACAAAAGTAGTCTAGTCTGGGGTTGTCTACTTTTGAAACTTTCTCTGCCACCGACAACAGCTACATTTACTGCAGTTAACTCTGAATGTGAACAGGTCAATACATCTCTCCTACAAGGATCAATCAAGGATCTATCTATCTTTAAATCTATCTCTCTGTATCTAAAAGGACGTGTGATCCAGGACACTCGACATTTCACAACTTTTATGGACATTGGTCTCTGCCCCTTATGGACCAATGGCTCAATGTGTTTTTTATTGTTGCATTTCTTATGTTTGAACTGATTTAAAACTTTAAAACATTCAAACAAACTCTAGAAATTGTAATATTGAATTGCCATTACATTGTTGAGCATGTAGAGAATGCTGCCATCTCGGGCCGCGTCTATTGCCTGATTGGTCGGAACAAACACGGTAAAAGGCCCCGATCCTCTGAATGGAGGGAGAGCACCGCAGTTCTGCAAAATTCATAAGAGAAATATGTGGACAATTTGTAACATTACTTGTCACTGCTATGGAGTATACAAGAGAAATACTTCTTTTTGATTTCCTTCAATGGCAAAAATATACCCACATCCACCAGAGACAGGAAGCGGTTAAACTGGTCGTCTTTCCTCAGAATCTGACTGATTCTCAGAGCGGAAAACTGAAAAGCAACGTAAAGAAAATGCACACGTTATGATGTCAAAAGAACCAAAACAACACAATCACAGATGTATAATAGTAAGATTTGTTGTTGTTTTGGTAGTTTTACAGTGGGAGGCAACTTGTCTGCCATCAAAACTAGAGTAGCAGGCTGACAGAAGACGGATGAAGCGGATTTGAGCATAAGCTAGCTGGAGCCAATCCCTAGCTTTGTGCCATAACAGGGACAGGTGTGAAGCTAAGATGGTTGTAATGGCAAAGTGCGAGACTTCCCAGCAAATAAAGGCATCTGTCTCTGTTTCAAAGATCACTTCTCCTTGGAAAAGGCAACCAAGATTAAAAATCCTGAACCATGGCTGTAGGTTAAAAGAGCATTAACAATTGGTCAATTCTTATAAAGCTCATATCTAGATTTACAAAGACAATATCATGTTTTAAAAATATAAATAATGTGCCAATCGTATCAATTCAACAGAGATGGAGCTTTTGTATTGATGCAATTGTTTGTTGTTAATCACAATTTTATCATTCAATGTTAACTGTGTTTTCAATTAAGATAACCCTGTTGTAGAAAACTAAAGACAGCCTGGGGGCCCCAAAATGAGAGTCTGGAAAATTGTACCTTATGAGGAACCCCAAGGCACTGTTTATAATATAAATCACATAAATCAGCTGAGAGGAGCGCCCTCAGAGAGCGCTGGGGTAGACACGGGTACAGGGCAGGACAGCATCTTATGAGCATTTATTTTGACAGAAAAATAAATGTTTGAATGCCATCCATCCATCCATTTTCTTCCCCTTAATCCATTTCTGGGTCGGGGTGGCAATCAGAGATGCTACATAGCACCAGCGCCTAATGTTTGAATGGAACTCTTGGTCTTCCTTCCTGGACAACTCAGAATAATGCAACAAATGGAAGACATGAAAAAGATCAATCAGTCGTGATGGATCCGTAAACAAACTACAAGCTTCCGTCAGTTGAACAGTGCGGCATCGTTGTAGTTAAGCACCTTTGAGTGTCTAAAAAAGCGCTCTAAAGCCAGTACATCATTACTTACGTGTTTTATTTGTTTACTGGTGCTTTGAGAAATAAAACAGGGAGTAGTTCAACGAGGGCAAACACAGAATTAAGTTTTGGTCACACCTTTTCATTGCGAACGGGTCTGTTCATTGAGCTGATCATGACCCCGTCGATGATGTGGATGACTCCGTTCGCGGCTGGATGGTTTTCACTGAGCACCGAGTAAACAACAGTAGGTTCGTCCATCAGGATCACCTTCTGTAATTACAATACAAACATCAATCAATCAATGTTTAACTGGATTGTAAAAAGACATGACACGGACAATGCAGAGGAAAATCCTTTGTGTTAAATGTGACAAATGGCCAATGATCACACACAAGCATACAACAGCGTTCGGCCCTCCAGCTATTTACACATTGCCAAATTGAAATCAAGAGAATTAATAATAGGTCATGAAAAAAAGATAATCTTAATGTATTTTAGGTGTGTTTTAATGAATGATTTTTAAATGTGCCGTGTTGTAAGACAAATCTCTGCTCAATTTGAACAGACAATTCTAACCTTGATTGAATTAAGAAAAGTTATGATATTTTCTGTGTTATCTACAAAAGCAAAACTATATAATCAATGGGTTTACTGGCTATGAAGGGACACAAACCAGAGTTGTGTGTTGTGGTGTTTGTAGGTGCTTGTGTGTGTGTGCATGCGTCATATGCACGCCAGACAGGAAACAGATATTGCTGTGGCTTTTGCACACAATGCACAAAGAACGATGCTTCCACTCTCTTTTTGCCGGTGGCTAATCTAGAACTGTACTGTCACTGAAGACTTGGGTTTGAAATCACAAAAACGTTGTAAGTTTAGGGAGAATGACAGCAATGACAGTGTCAGAGCAGGACTTGTCTTGTCCAATCTGTTTTCAGAGATCCAGTGCTCCTGTCCTGCACCCACAGCTTCTGCAGAGAGTGTTTGAAGACCTGGTGGGAAGAGACGCCCTTAAGGAATTGTCCAATCTGCAAGAGAAGTTCATGCAGCGGAGATCCACCATTGAACCGGGCCTTGTCAAATTTGTGTGTGGATTTTAAAGAGAGCAAAATTGGATCATGCAGAGAGCACTCCGAGAGACTGAAGTTGTATTGTTTTAATCACCAAGAACCAGTTTGTTTGGTCTGCAGAGACTCGGATGCTCACAAAAACCACATCTTCAAACCCATCGACGAGGTGACACCCGGCTTCAGGAATCAGCTACAGGACGTTCTCCAGCGTCTGGCCGAACAGCTGCAGGTGTGATCGCCAGGTTTCTTATTCTATTGGGACGCTTGGTTTATTGTCTGTTTTTGTAATGTCTATCAGTAGTTTGGGTTTCTACTATTTTTAGTTTCTGTCTGTTGGCAGTTGTTACATGTTGTGGTCACAGGGATAGGTGTAAAAGACGTCTCCACTGTTGATCTTATGTTATTTGCAACATTTTAAATAACGAATTTGTTGTTCACCTTAATCTTTAACAGGTGATAAAAATACAAATATGGTGCATGTAGATAATAATAAGAATACAGAAATCCCCCAGTAAAGTTGGTGACTGTAACCACGTAATGAATCTCGTCACATTTTTTAAAAGTAATTAGTAATATGCAACTAATGACTTTTTCAGAGTAACTTACCCAACCCTGGACGGATGTAATGTCCAGGGCTAATGTCATGGTGTATGGATCTGGCTTGCCCAAAAATAACAATTGTAAACCACTTTGTGACTCTGGTCTCTGAAAGGCGGTATATAAATAAAGATTACTTACTTACTTATTAATAACTTACTTACTGTTCTGCAATAAACAGATCTCATTGCACAAAAAGGTAAAATAACAAAAGTAGCCACAGACCAACGAGCAGGGTTTTGGGCTAGCCTATTCCAAAAGTGAGGAGGAAATTATAATCAGAAGTGCATTCACAGTAGAATAGTTTGTCAAGTCAATTTTGCACAATTGCCGTGGCTGACAGACGTGAGGAAATGTTTGAGGTCAGTGTTTAAATACTTTAATTTTGCCTCCCTAGGACGTGAATAAAAGCAAAATGGAGTTTTCTGCTGCTGTGACTCACGTTGAAGCCCAGGCTCGGCTAACAGAGAGGCAGATTCAGGATCAGTTTAAGAGGCTGCACCAGTTTCTAGAGGAAGAAGAGCAGAGCCGGATCAGCGCTCTGAGGGAGGAAGAACAGCAGAAGAGGAGGAGCCTATAGGACAAGATGGCAGCTGTGAACCGAGATATGGAGGCTCTGTCTGAGACAATCACAGCCACAAAGAAGCAGATGTCCTCAGCAGATGTTTCCTTCCTGCTGCAGTATAAGGCTGCACTGGAGAGAGTGAAATGCTGCCCCCCAGTGGTAGGACCAGAGCTGGGACCGGGAGCTCTGATAGACCAGGCCAAACATGTACGCAACCTGGGATTCAACATCTGGAAGAACATGAAAGACCTGTTCCAGTTCTACCCTGTTGTTCTTGATCCAAACACTGGTCATCCAGAACTCAGGCCCCGTCTACACGTAGCAGGGTATCTCACAAACCGAAGATATTTTCCTACGATCTGGCCTATCATCCACACAAACCCGGAGTTTTCTGTCGATAAAAACGAAGGTTTCTGAAAACTCCGGCCAAAGTGAAGATTTGGGAATTCTCCGGTTATGCGTTTGAGTGTGGACATAAATAACCGGAGTATTCGGCTGTACGTCACTACCAGCGTGCTGCTCTGACGTCACACGCGCGACCTGTGTTTACATCAGAAACAACATGGAGGCCATCAAAACCGCTTTTGTTTTAACGATTGTTCAGGCACTTTTTGCTTGCTTGTTTTTACAAGCTCAAATACTGCTTCATGTTGAAGAGCACAGACGAAGGAGCACTTTAAGGTCGGCTATTTTCCGCCAAATAACCATCCCTCGTCCAAGACATGTTCCTCGTCAAAGACGGCAACGGCAATTTTGGGTCAGACCGGGACGCACTGCCAGCTGGTGGGAGAACTTTGAGATGGAAGTCGTCCTCCCGGAGGAAGGTAGGTTTGTAGGTTTGAAATGTAATTGACAACGCATGTATGCGGTTAGGTGTGGATGCCGTTTTTTAAAAAACCGAGGCTGTGTGGACAGAAGTTTTTTTTTAGGCGGAGGGCGGATTTATAAATGCCCTGCTACGTGTAGACAGGGCCTCAGTCTGACTGGGGACTTGACGAATGTAAAATATGGAGAAAGACAAAAGTTTCCAGAGAATCCAGAGCGGTTTGGGTGGCACAGAGTCCTGGGATCAGAAGGGTTCAGCTCAGGGACTCACAGTTGGGACGTGGAGGTTTCAGGTGATGATTATTGGTCTGTGGGCGTGGTCAGCGAGTCGGTACAGAGGAAGGCACCGATGAACACAGGAGTTTGGGATATACGTTTTCACGATGGACAATATCATGCCGTCTGTCGACCGAAACAGGACAAGACACTTAGTTTGGAGAAGAATCTACAGAGAATCCGAGTGAAACTGGACTTTGACGAAGGACAATTGTCGTTTTCTGATGCGGACACAGAAGAACAATTACATGTCGTTACAAAGTCTTTCTCTGAGAAGCTGTTTCTCCACAATCAACAACAGGCCACTGCAGATTATACCAAAGACTATCTCTGTGAAAATTAAATAAACCTGAATTAAGACATGATGAAGCGTACTCTGTAGCTAACTGACAAGAAAAACAAACAAATTGAGACAACACATGTTTTTCTTGCTGACTTGACTGTAGCTACATGTGTAGTTAAATAAAAAATGAAAATAAACATCATTCAAGCTCATTTTCGAATGAAGCATGATCTGTTTTGTATTGTTTCATAATATGGTATTTTGCCCTTTCCATTTCCATGAGTGTTGATAATAATTCAAGCCAGAGTCTGTACTTTTGCATGATTGGACATAGAGTATTAGGATGAGCTTTCCCCAGAGCTCATTTTGTTCCCTCTCTTTATGGCTGTGGTGTATTCTACATTCATTCAGGAAGTTTAGATCATAATTAGTAATAATGCACCTGAATATTGTCCCATTTTACAGAAGTATAACAAGAAATATGATTTCACACTAAGAGGTTTGATTTTAGTTTACCAATATTGATTATTGAATATACTTGAGATTCAGTGATTAAAAGATTCATTATTTTATGAACAATTTACATTAAACCCTAACCCAAATGTGTGCACATACCCTGTATAACGAGCTGACCAGGGTGATCGAGGACGTGATGCGATCCCAACAGAATGAGTTAAAGGTCAAACATAAACTTAAAGACCTTGCAAAGTTTATATCCATCAATCAATTAACATAAACAATTGGAACAAAGCAGAACCAACTTTCTTGAGAATGATCCCACTCATTACTGTGGACAGCTCTATGGAACAGATGGGAATCAGAAATGACAATTAATGTTTAAAATTTGTGCCTTTGATAAGTTAAAATTCCAGACTTCAAGGCCGGGGATATATACAGTTACCAGCTCTTCCATCCCCCACATGTCTGCCTCACTCTTCTCTGTCTACCCCCATACCCCACCTATATCTTCCCTCTGACTTGCCCACATTGGGGCAGGTCAGAATTAGGGGTGGGAACCTAAGGGTACCTCATGATACGATACGATACACAATACAAAGCTCACGATAACAATATTATCACAATAACGATATCACGATAACGATATCACGATAACAATTTTATCACGATATGACGATTATCGATATATTGGTCAGAAATATACAATATGCCAATTTATGGCATAAATAAAAGAAAAAATACACTTTATTTCATGATAAATGGAATGGAGATGCGTAATGTAGCCATATATTACGTTGTTTTTTTTTTTCAAAATCGATATCGATACTTGGCAAATACATATCGATAATCGAATCGCGGGAGAAAGTATCGCAATATATCGAAAAATCGATATATCGTCACACCCCTAGTCAGAATGTTCTCCAATCAAACAGATCCAACTGTTGTCCACATGTAATGAGTCCATCCAACTTCTCTTGGTGAAATGTATGTGTCTGCTCCCTCTGCTATTCTAGAACTTACGGTTCCATGAAGAAAGATGACTGTAAATGGAACATCAATCATTCATGCATTATTTCCATGTGTCTTGAGTGTTGACCTTGTTGCCCTTGCTGCGCAGCCGTCCTCCTCCGTACAGACTGAAGTCCTTCCCCTCAAGGTCTTTGTAAAGATGTTCCCCTAAGATCAGGTGGTTCTTACACACTTCCTCTTCATTCACACGCTGCAACAAACACAAAATCACACAAAGGCTCATGCAACGAGTTAACAAGGAATCACTGGATGAGACAGATTAGCTGAATAAAGTGAAATATGTCCTTTATTAAATAATAAAACCTGAAGCAGAAGCATATATAATAATGAGAGCATTTCCCAAGTCTGTTTCCAGTACTGTATGCCCTATGCCTTGTAATTTAGGTAAAAATATGTATTATAATCCTATACAAATTTCCCTCAAAAAATTTTTTTGTTTTAGACTAGGTTATACTTAACTGGGTGGATAGTGTTAAGAATGTCAAGGAGGTAGCAAACATACGCACCAAAGTACGTTAGTGACAGGTTAGTCCCATATGAACCAACTCGGACTCTGAGGAGCACAGGGACTGGCCTCCTGCTGGTCCCAGAGTGAGAACTAAGCATGGAAAGTCTACATTTCAGATTCATGCTGCTAAAAACTGGAACAATCTTCCTGAATATGTGAGACAGGCTTCTTCTCTGAAAATGTAAAACAGTTCTGTTTAGCTGTGCATACAGCTGAGGTATTCTATAATTTCATCTTTCTTTTTAATGTATTGTGATTATTTATGATTTGAATGCCTTGTGACTGTTAATATCTTGTTTTGTTCAGCACTATGAGTTGCCTTGTGTGTGAATTGTGCTATATAAATAAACTTGCCTTGCCTACATGGACCAACAGAAAGAGTCTTATGGTAGGAGTGGAATGACCGACTGCGGACATCACCCATACGGTTTGCTGAAAGTGGAATTTCCTTATAAGAGCATTAATTTTCTGCAAAAACCAAGGATTTTTTTAAGATAAAAATGGTGAGTGAGACAGAAACAGTTACTGAGCGAAAAGCGTTGATGCAAGAGGGATTTGGAGAAAAACTTTCCTATCGTTCTTCATTGATGTTGAATGTAATTATGTTGGGATTTGTGTAAAATGCGGTGCTCCCGTATGGTGTGACCCACCGTGAGCGGAGCCCTGAGCAGTGGAATGAAGGCTGTAATGGGGCCGCCATGGTTCAACAGCAGCGAGCAGCCTTTCTCTAAATTAAGGGAAATTATCACAAAAACAACAATTCAAATAACTGCAGTACATTAGCACACAAAGACAGAAAAATAAACAAAACAAGTAAAAGATCAGTTAACAATCACTTACCTACGTATTTTTCAGATTATAAGTCTCAGTTCTTGTCATAGTTTGGCCGAGGGTGCAATTTATACTCTGGAGCGACTGAAATTCATACATTTACTCTTGTGCAACTTTTTCCTTATTTTTTTATGCATTTTCAGCTGGCGCGACTCCGGAGCGACTTATAATCAGAAAAATACTGTACTGCATCTCTATCAATTCACAGCTAAGGTGATTAGGGATGTAAATCGGTGACCCTTTAACCGGTGGTTGACCGTCACAGCGTTAGCCGGTCAAAGCTGTCGGTTAAAAAAAAGAAAAGGGGGAGGAGAGGGTCTACTAATAACGCTATTTTAAGCCCTATTCGCACGGTGTGAAGGAGCGGGTCATCTGCCAACGTTTTAGTAAACTCCGGGCCGACTTTCATGCTGCACGCGCCACACACACACACACACACACATACATACATACATGCACGCGCACACACAAATTCCATTACACACTTGCGCACTCTTTCCCCCGCTCATACGTAACATCCACACCCATCATCCATACTCTTGTCCGTCTTAGCGGGTTAGAACTCCATTGGAGCTTACATATACGTACGTACATATACAGACACACACACATACCGGTCTGTCGCGCTCCGCTGTGTCACGCAGCCAAAAGGATCCTCGCAAATACGCGGCTCCAGTCAAACCACATGGACCATGTTTGTGCTGCGCGGCTCCACAGACAGCACTTGTGTTTAAACTTTAGCGGAGACCTGCGAGACGCGGCTCGTCACTCGCTGCTCTGACCATGTGGACGAGCTGTCGTTTGCTGCTAAAAAGCTTTAACCCGCAGCACAGAAGATGGAAAGATAAATAAAAGCAGTTCTCTGTGCGCAAAGGTGCCGAAGCTGTTGCAGGTATCGCTCCGCTGTCTCGGCTCTGATCTAGTAGAACGTATAGCTGCACTTATGGAAAGTGCATGGCTCGAAATGGTTGTTATTTCAAAGAACGTGGACTATTTTAAACTACGCGGTTAACCGGTTTCAACCAGTTAAAGAGGCTCGGTGTTCAGTCATTAAAATTCGTACGTTTTTTACATCCCTAAAGGTGATTCTTCCTCATTGAAAATGTCAAAAACTTTGACACAACTCTTTTTTGGTGTTTTCTTTGTTGCTGCCAAAAGTGCATTCTATACATGGCTGTTTGCATACTTTCCAAATCCATTGGAATATTAATGACATTTTTGATGATGTTGTGTGTTCATCTGATGTATAGAGATATTCAGTGAATTTTGTACAATGATCGTGGTATAACCGACCAAAAAGAGCAATAGTTTCGGTCAGATTGCCGCGGTGGTCTCCGGTTCTGTCGAGTTCTAGAAGCTGCTCCATCAGGTTTCCGTAACATCTCCAACCGTCACCGATCTGCTCTGAACTGCACTCACATCTGCACAGGTCACAAGTCACAAAAAGTAATTCAATACATGTAAAAAAAATGTATAAAAATCCCATATTTACAAAACTTTCAGTGTCGTAAAAAACGTATCAATTATACTCGACCTGTCATGTCCGTCCAATCCGGTGCGACAGGAAGCAGAGGGATGACAGGAGTCTTTCAAACAGGCTGACACCAGCTCACAGCCGAACTGAGCGCTGCCCCCTACTGGTCTCATCCCTGCCATGCACTGGCACGTGGACTGCAGAGAGAGCAGAAGATGTCTCTAAACTCCATCCATCCATCCATCCATTTTCTTCCCCTTAATCCATTTCTGGGTCGGGGGGGTGGCCAGAGATGCCACCCAGTACACAGAGCACCAGCCCCTCACTGATCCTCCTGCAGGTGGTGAGTCCACAGGAGCTGAGATCTTTCAGTGGGGGCTTCAGGCAACCACTTTGCCTGAAGCTTTGGTTAAGTGTCTTGCCCAAGGACACAACAACAGCAGTCATCAGTGGGAGTCGTGAAGTAGGTCTTACGTGGGCTCGAACCCACGACCTTCAGGCTTAAAGGCCAATGCTCTACCAACTGAGCTACTGTCCTCTAAACTGTCTCTAAACTTTCACTAAACTGTCCATTAATTTTGAGGATAATACATTTGAATAATCATTATTTGTGATTATTTGAAATCAATCAAGTAGTAGTTTAATAAGGAGAGCTTTAGGAATGTGGAAAAATGCAAAAAGCAGCATTTTAGCCGTATTGATGAAATTACAGTTTAAACTCTGAGTGGAGTTTGCATGTTCTCCCTGTGTCTGTGTAGGTTTCCTCCAGGTACTCCGGTTTCCCCTACCACTAAAAATATGTACAATAGGTCTGGCATGCGCCTCCTGTACTTGCCCCGCTCCCATCTCTGTGTGGAGTGAGAGACTAATGCCCATAAAATAACAATTGTAAACCGCTTTGTGACTCTGGTCTGTGAAAGGGGTATAAATAAAGATTACTTACTTACTTACTTAAACAGAAGTTACACTCAATTAAAAATAAAAAAACTTTCCAATTATCCAATCAGAGAGCATAATGAGTCTCGTGATAACTGTTTTCAAAGTGGAATTGAGCTTCTTTAATTCTTTTGTCCAAAGAGGCACCGGATTATTCAACGTGCTCATTTTAAAGATAAGAATTCTGTTGGGACTGTTCCTCAATCACCATAGCCATGCTTCCTGCCTGGTTACTGAGACTTCGCCCCCTACTGGTCCAGTGCATGCCTCTATCACATGTACAGAAGATTTCTATAAGACCAGACCACAATTTTGCGCCCAAAGTACAAAAGTTTGATGCTATGATGATGTTATGACTTCTGTTTGTATTTATGTCTAGATATGATACATTTTAATTACATTACAATTCATTCACAGCTATGGAATATTCCCAATACTCCCTCTTAACTTCCTGTGAAAATCTACCTGATACTTTCTGGGAATAAACCAGCAATGTTCAGCCCCTTTGCAATCCTACCTCAGAACGGCAGGTCAAACAGCTCATGTATTTACCCACATTACGTTTGACCTGTGGGGTAATAAACATTTTGCAAACATTAAAATCACAGCTACATTAGGTCTTTATGTTTATACTGAACATGGCTCAGAAAAAAGCCGAGTCAGAATGGCCTGGCAGCGCGGGGTCAATGTGAATGGAAAGGCCATGATCGGTGTGAAAACATGAGGTTTTAGGATAATGACAGAAAATGTGTTTACTAAATATGTTGATATCCAACAACCCCAATGTGCAACAAGTCATTTCTATGAATATGTCCTCCATCACTTTTGTTTTGGCGCAATGTGTAAAAAATCCTATTGCAACTGCACTGTTATCAGTTCTGTTCATGTTTTACTGTATATGCATTTTTTTTGGGTGTAACTTTAGTTTGAGACAAAAGGCGCATGGTTATTAACATACAATTAAGAAGTTTAAGTCAGAAATAACACAAAAGACAAAGTGAGAGCCAACACAGCCCCCTTCAGCATGGACATTTTTTATAAAATGCACTAAGAAATGGTGACTTCTGATTAATTCTAATTCACTGTGGCATAAGCAGCGCATGCTCACAGCCACACACACACACACAGTAACCCATCCCTGAATATACAGTATATATATAAATAACAAAGTTGATTAAAACCTAAACTCGGTGAATGGTTTCAGCCTGGGGTCATTCACAGGACTGACCTTGTTTGCTCCGCTGAACGCACACACGGTGGAGTTCACTGGGCAGTCTCCGTTGTTCTGGTTGCAGGGGTTTTTGGGGACACACACTCGGCCATTGCCCTCGTAGTCTGGTTTACAGACGCAGGTGACTTTTGATCCCTGAGATGAGCACTGCGCATTCTCGTCACAGTCCCGGGAGGAGCACACAGCTGGACAACAACAATAACAAAAGTTTCAGATTCAGATACAGACTTGATTTATCGCACCAAGGGCAATTCATTTGAGCAGCACAGGGCATAAAACACATGAAAACACAGGGAAAGGTGGAGCCCATACAAACATATGAAAGTAATACAACGATACAAGCTCAAACACTTAAGTCCATATCACCAGTAGAGAGTATAGATTAAGATTAGAGATCCTTTATTTGTCCCACAGTGGGGAAATGTCAGTGTTGCATCACAAGCTAAAGACAGTAGGAATGAGGAGCACACAGCACCTGAAGAGAAATCAATAACATCTCTTAACTAAAATAAAATAAAGAGTGCAGTGGTCTAATAGTGGTTGGGACAAAAGATTAAGTGTAAATTGGTTTTATAATATGGTAAGTAAGTAATCTTAATATATAAAGCACATCTTATTCTTGCTCTGACTGTCTCTTCAATCTGAAGAACAGAGGACATGGATTTACTGCCTTTCCATGCTGCTCTCAGGTCGCCACTACTGTAGCTTGGTCTTAACATACCATCCATCCATCTTCTTCCCTTTAATCCATTTCTGGGTCAGGGGGTGGCAGTCAGAGCTGCACCCAGTTCACAGAGCACCAGCCCCTCACTGATCCAACTGCAGGTGGTGAGTCCACAGGAGCCTCAATCTTTCATCGGGGGCTTCAGGCAAAATGGGGTTAAGTGTCTTGCCCAAGGACACAACAACAGCAGACATCAGTGGGAGTTGTGAAGTAGGTCTTTTCTTGGGCTTGAACCATAGACTGTATATATTAACGGACAGAGTCACGCCTATCTCCGCCGTTCTAACTAATGGGCCAAAAAATGTGCTCTACTGGAGCAATCAAAAATGGCCGCGAGTGGTCCCGCCCACAAGAAAATTGTGAAAAAACGCATCTGCGCATGCGTCAGCCGGCGCAGCTCCATTCATTTGAACGAGAGACTTCAAAAATTCACAGCAAGTAAACTAGAGTGGACCAAAACACCCCCCTCAGCATTGACACACATGTGGAACGGAGCTTTGGGCCAAGAGCCAACTTTTGGTCCATCCTGTGAAGACGTTTTTCAGAGGTCTGCCAATGCTATATGTTAGCATTGGCTAATTCTACTTCTGGGTCCACCCCCATCGGCCCGGGGTGGTATTGCAGCATGTCAGCGCACGTCATTTTGGCCACTTTTGAGCTGGGACCCTCCCCCACTGGGTAAGACCCACAACTTTCAGGCCCAAAGGCCAATGCACTACCAACTGAGCCACTGCCGCCCCGTCTTACCATACCATCGTATGCATTTAATTTCATATGAAATAATGATTGACAAATAATAATTGAGTTTACGGATGGCTAAGGCCAGTCTACCACTTCTGTCTTGGTGCTCAACTTTTTAGCTATCCTCAGCTCTTGTCTAACTTCTTTGTGAGCATCATTGTTCTCCTGACTGTTGCCTGTGTAGAAAGTAACCCTTTTCTTATTCATTATCTGTTTTTGGGGTGCCTACAGTTTCTTCTATAGCTTTTCTGGGGCACCTCCTCCTGCTTTTCCCATTAGAAATGACATCAGATTGGATGTTCCACAGCACAGCATCAAACATTCCTAGATTTTTGATTTCAGTTGCAGACAAACCTCATAGCCATCAACTACCTAGAACCAGGAAGTACGACCACATTAGTCCAGTTCTCAGGTCTCTGCACTGGCTTCCTGTGGCTCAGAGAATATACTTTAAAACAGCTTTGCTTGTGTACAAGTCTCCCCATGGCCTCGCACCAAAATATATTAGTGACATGTTAGTCCCATATGAACCAGCCCGGACTCTGAGGAGCACAGGGACTGGACTCCTGTTAGTGCCCAGAGTCAGAACTAAACATGGGGAGGCTGCTTTTCAGATTCATGCTGCTAAAATCTGGAACAGTCTTCCTGAAGATGTGAGACAGGCCTCCTCTCTGACAATGTTTAAAACCAGGTTAAAAACGGTGCTGTTTAGCTGTGCATACAACTGAGGGATTTTATATTTTTATCTTTTGTTTTAATGTTCTGTAATTATTTATGATTTTGATGCATCTTGTTCAGCACTTTGAGTTGCCTTGTGTATGAATTGTGCTATACAAATAAACTTGCCTTGCCTACTATTCGCCAGAGAAATGGATATTTTAAAATTCCTTTAACACAAAGCAGGCCGCAAACCAAAGTAACAGAAGTACAGTACATAGTTTGGGTTGAAAACAAAGAAGGTTTTAAACTAACATGGCTGCTATTTTGCGCATTATTGCCCCTCTGACACAAGCTAAGGCAATCAAAAATAAAATAAAATAACTATGTAATAAAATCCATATATTCTTTGCTCTCAACATAGTTTATTTACACTTATATTTGTGTTTTTTTACCTTTATTTAACCAGCAAAGTCTGACTGAGGTTTCAAAATCTCTTTCAGGAAGGTGTGTCAAAGTAAGCAGTACTGCAGGGCTGCTCTGTGCACCTTTTTAGTAAACTTTTAACAACTTTTTAGCGCGTTTTTATTGTTCAGTTTTTTAATATATCTGAGTGTTTTATCTTTTTAATTCAGTGGTTTCAGCAAATAGCACTTAGTCCCGACTGAAACCCACTAGTAGCACAGAGGCTAACACAAGCTAACGAGGACATGGAAAGTGACAATGAAATTGGCTCAAACATGCACAATATTAGTCGCCTCACCTTGGAGCTCCGTGAGAGCGACCGTGCCACCATTGCAGATCTACGAAAAGAAGTCCTTCGTCTCACCGCAGAGTTGAATGAGAAACAATCTCTAGTATCCAAACTTTTTGAAGTCGCTGGTGGGCAGCACTCACGGCTGATGTCACTGAGCGCTGCATATTGTGACACTGTCGTGTGGGAGAGATCCGTCAGCTCCGGACCCTCCTGTTCTACACCTAAGCGCCCGCTTACGAATAACGAGCCCGCGGATTCCGAGGAGCCATCCTGCGCCGTGGCCCATGTCCTGAGTCTGGCAAACCGCTATGCAGCCCTCTCCACTGACATCCCGGCCCCCTCAGCAGAATCCCTGGACACTGCAGCAAACTCTACTGCTCGAGGATCCAAGTCCACTGCGAGGAAAACGCTCCTAAAGGAAGCAGTCCTCAGGCGAAAGAGCGGTCCACCAGCCATGTTGACCCCAGTGCAGCAGCCTCAGACTGGGGTAGCGAGCCATCATCACCACCGCTCACCTCCACCGGGTCAGCAGCAGCGTCCAGAGCCAGCCCCTCTCACCGCTCCAGCGTCCCCGAGCACACAGCGTGGGTCGCCTGTAGCTGAGAGTCAGCACCCCCGCTCCTCCTCTCCATGTGTTCAGCGGCGCTCAGGCTCGGGTCCTGCTTCGGGTGAACCCGCTGGTTCCGTCCACCGAGCTCCTTCTCCGAGGCCACTCTTCGCCCCGACCACTCTGATTATTGGAGATTCCATCGTGAGACACGTCCGCTTCTTTAACGCGGTCACTCGCTGTATTCCCGGAGCTACTGTACCAGACCTGCTCATACGTCTCCCTCCTCTGCTTCAGTCCCTGCCTGATACCGTTTCCAAGGTAGTCGTGCATGTGGGAATTAACGACATGAAACTTCAGCAGTCAGAAGTCACGAAGAAACATTTTATGGATCTGTTCCACCTCCTTCAATCCTCCGGATTATCTGTTTTTATTTCTGGTCCAATCCAGACTGTAAACAGAGGTGACTGCCTCTACAGTCGTGTTGTGGCGCTGCATGTGTGGCTTCAGGCTACATGCAGCTCTTTTAACTTTGTCTTTGTGAATAACTTTGCCCTTTTTGGAAACGTTACGAAGCCTATCGTCCAGACGGATTACACCCAAACAGATACGGTAGCAGCCTGTTGATGGATTACATACGTTATGTTGTTCAGCGTTCCCCGAGGGGGGCGTGACTGTTTACATCTGAGCCCCCTCGGACCCCACCGCACTCCCCCGCCTCCTGCTCACCAGCACCGGGTGAGTACAACGGTGCAAACACTGCTCCCTGTCCGTCTGGCAGTGCATTACCAGTCCAAACACTGAACTGTGCTGACTCCCTTCTGACTCTGGGAGCTAAAGAACAACAAGGGTTTTCACATTTTAGGCCAATTGAGACTGTGTGTGTTCCTCGCACCAGCTCAAAAATGTTTTTAAATTCTAAAAAACGAAATCAAAACAGGACAGCAGTTAGACGGTCCAACTCTGCAAATCTAATTTCTGTTCCCTGTAGAAATCAATCAACCACATTAATCGACTCTGACGTTATTTTTAAACTTGCTATGCTTAATGTCAGATCTCTATGTAACAAATCATTTTTAATTAATAATTTTATCACTTCTTATGATCTTGATTTTATGCTTATGGCTGAAACATGGCTGGACCAAAATACAGGAAATGCAGTTCTAATAGAAGCAACACCACCCAATTTTAAATTCGAATCCGAAATACGAGAAAACAAAAGGGGGGGAGGCATAGCTGCAGTTTTTAGAGAGCACTTTGTCTCCCATAGAATGCCCCTTGGAAATTGTTCATCGTTTGAGTATATTTCTTTTAAAATGGAACAAAAGCAATCTTCTACTCTTTTCATTGTCCTGTACAGGCCACCACAGTCATGTTGCGATTTTATTGACCATTTTACTGAACTACTTTCATTCGTGTGCACAGATTTTGATAGTTTAGTTATTACAGGTGATTTTAATGTACATGTTGATAATGTTGATGACAGAAATGCAAAGGAGCTGGCTTCTGTATTTGAGACCTTTGGTTTCATTCAGCACGTGAGTGGCCCCACCCACAGCAGGGGGCACACTCTTGACCTGCTAATTACAAAGGGGGTTAATGTATCAAATGTTAATGTAGTTGATGTTGCTTTGTCAGATCATTTCTGTGTATTTTTTGACATGTGTTTTGCTAGCAAACCACCAGCTGAATTTACAACTGTTAGAAGAAGACACATACATGAAAACACAAGTGAACTGTTCATGGGAATGCTAAATTTTGAGAAAACTCCATGCTCTACTGTTGATGAATTGTATAACTCTGTCACCACCAGTGTTCTGACTGTTCTGGACGCCATTGCTCCTGTGACGGTTAAAATAGTTACCAGTAAGAAAAAGGCCCCATGGACTAAGGCAGACTCGGTTAGGGCACAGAAGCAAGAGTGCCGGAGGGCCGAACGGAAGTGGCGAAAGTCCAATTTCCAGGGCGATTATGAAATCTTTAAAGATGAGTTGGGTGAATTTAACCGGGTTCTACGTAGAACAAGAGAAATGTATTTTTCTGACATTATTGGAGGTTGCAGTAACAATTTTCGTGTTATGTTTTCAACAGTTGGTAGATTAACGAACCCCCCTGTAAAGTTGCCCCTAGAATTTTCCTCTAAATCTAGGTGTAATGAGTTCGCACAGTTTTTCGATGACAAAGTACAAGGAATCAAAAACACTATCACCTCCACAGCACGTATAACAATGCAACAGCCAGAGAAGCTTTCTGAGCTAACTCACTTTGCACCTGTGGATACTGAAACTGTCAAAAAGATAATCATGAGTCTGAGCTCCTCCACATGTAGCCTGGATATATTGCCCTCTAAATTTCTGAAGTCCGTCCTGAGCAGTTTGTTACCTTCACTGACACAAATAGTAAACATGTCTCTGTCGTCAGGAACATTTCCTATGGCCCTAAAAACAGCAGTCATAAGACCTCTCCTAAAAAAGAGCAGTCTGGATCCTGCGGGACTTCAAAATTATCGCCCCATATCGAATCTGCCATTTATTGGAAAAATTCTTGAAAAAGTGGCCTCCCAACAACTTACTGAATTTTTAACAATGAATAATTCTTTTGATATGTTCCAGTCTGGGTTTAGACCCCACCACAGCACTGAGACCGCTCTAGTGAAGGTAACAAACGACATTCGACTTCACACTGATGCAGGTAAAGTCACAGTTTTGGTCATGTTAGATCTTAGTGCCGCGTTCGACACTGTCGACCATGAGATCCTCATGCAGAGACTGGAGGACTGGGCTGGTGTCACTGGCACAGCCCTAGACTGGTTTAGGTCTTACCTGGAGGATAGGAAGTACTCTGTGGAGATTGGAGACTGCGTCTCAGATGATGTGGCCCTGACCTGTGGTGTACCACAGGGGTCGATCCTGGGACCTCTCCTATTTAATCTCTACATGCTGCCGTTAGGTCAGTTAATACAAAGAAACAAAGTGTCCTACCACAATTACGCTGACGACACTCAGATCTATGTCTCACTGACTGCAGGAGAACATGGACCACTGGATTTGCTCCTTCACTGTATCCAACAGATCAGTGACTGGATGCAAAATAATTTCCTCCAGCTAAATACAGACAAAACCGAAATCATTGTCTTTGGTCCCCAGAAACAAAGAGAGGGCGTCATTTGTCAACTTCAGTCTCTCTCCCTACTTCCTTCAGACAAGGTCAGAAATTTGGGGGTAATACTGGACTCAGACCTAAATTTCAATAGCCACATAAAATCAATAACATCAACAGCTTTTTACCATCTGAAGAACATTGCCAAAGTTAGAAATATAGTGTCCAGGGCAGACTTGGAGATTCTTGTCCATGCATTTGTCTCCAGCAGGCTAGACTACTGCAATGGCCTGCTTACAGGTCTGTCCAAACAGACCTGTAAGCAGCTGCAGTACATCCAAAATGCAGCAGCTAGAGTCCTGACAGGAACCAGGAAGTATGACCATATTAGTCCGGTCCTCAGGTCTTTGCACTGGCTTCCTGTGGCTCAAAGAATAGATTTTAAAACGGCTCTGCTTGTGTACAAGTCTCTCCATGGCCTTGCACCAGAATACATTAGTGACATGTTGGTGTCATATGAACCAGCCCGGACTCTGAGGAGCACAGGGACTGGCCTCCTGCTGGTGCCCAGAGTGAGAACCAAACATGGGGAGGCTGCGTTTCAGATCCATGCAGCTAAGATCTGGAACAATCTCCCTGAAAATGTGAGGGAGGCGTCTACTCTGTCAATGTTCAAATCCAGGTTAAAGACTGTTCTGCTTGCCTGTGCATACAACTGAAGGATTTTATCTCCATTTTTAATGCACTGCTGTCATTTATTTATTTTTTTAAATTTCTTGTGTAATTTTGAAAGTTTTAATGGTTTTATTCTTTTGTGTGATTTTAATGTTTTAATTGTGTTTTAATCTTTTGTGTGATTTTAATGTTTTAATTGTGATTCTGGTGTTTGTTTTATGTGATGATTTGTGATGTGGACTGTGAAGCGCTTTGTGTTGCCATGTGTATGAAAGGCGCTCTACAAATAAACTTTGATTGATTGATTGATTGAAGGGGGGGACTATAATACGTTGGAAGAGGAAAGCGAGACCTGGAGCACCCAGAGGAAACCTATGCAAACATGGGGAGAACATGCAAACTCCAAACAGGAAGGCCCCGTCTGGAGGTGGGATCAAACCCGCAACACTGCTGCCAGGGAGACACAAATATGCAAAAGATGACGTTGTTTCTGCTAGGACAAACTACACATGTTAACTATGAACAAAGAAGGTCGGTACAATCATACAGCCAACTTTAATGACCAAGAGACGAGCCGACTTACGCCCCGTTCGCTAGCGGTTTACTCACTTGCACATTTTCCCTGAGAGGTTTTTCTGTGTCCGGGCAGACAGTCACACACAGCTGCGTCTCCATCCCCTCTGCAGAAGGAGTACGGGGGGCAGGAGCGGCAACCCGAGCTCACTGCACACACACATTAAGAGATTATGGTTTGTTAAGAGGCGGGAGACGGTTTGTAGCAGGTGCTAGTGTAGGTTTTGGAGATTTTCCTTTCAAACTGGTCCTTCATTCCTCAATTTTCATCCACTTGTGATGATCCAGGTGACACATTCAACAACATTTGTGGACATTGGTCATCTGCCTCTAATGGACCAATCTGCCTCTTATGGACCAATGGCTTTATGTGTTTTTATCACAGCATTTGTTGTGTTTGAACTGTGTGTTTCTCTGATCTGTGTTGGCGAATTCAACGGTTTTGTATAGAATAAATATGTCTGAATTGTATCGAATTACTGACTTCCTTGCACTTATCTTGTTATGTTCTAGGAAGTTTCTGGGTTACTTACCTACGGACCATCCAGTCTGACCTCCCTCTGCATTAATAAACGTGTTAATTTTTACATTCAGTCTTGTGTCACTTTTTGGGTCTCTCTTTGTGTCGTAACTTGAGCATGTTTTAACACCGTTGTTAATGATACTAACAATAACTGTAATTCAGCAGTGGTAGTTCTTGATTGTATGTGTTTTGATTAAAAGTTTGAGAAAATCTACGTTCTTTTAGATGATATTTATTTTCAATGCGCTGTTTCTCCAGTGTCTTTTGTATTTTTTGGTTTTCAGTGTTGTGCGTTCAATCATTTCGCTCTTATTTCTTTCCTAAATATTCTCATCCATCCATGGTTTGAAATGGAAGATTGTTGTTGTCATCTCACTGTCTAATTTGAAATGTAACATTTTGCTTTGCTTACGTTGGTCGCAGCGTTTTCCCGTGAACGGAGGCTGGCAGAAGCACTGTCCATCTCCCTCTGGGCCCTTGTTACAGACGCCACGGTTACAGTCACATTCTGAAACACACAGATTTCATTACGACAGGGGAACAGAGCTGAGCACTTCTCGTTGGGTAAATTCAGTCATTTCGTATTTTTGAGGTCATTCAGAGGTTTGTTGGATGAACAGCATTGCAAACACATTTGTAAAAAGACATTTTTAAAACTGCTTAACAAAATTATTATAATCACAAATAATGACAAGTAAAGAGACACTCCTTGAGTCGTATGAACAACTAAACAGAACTGGGTTTGAACGTCGTCAGAGTGGAAGCCTGTCTCGCTTTTCAAGAAAGACTGTTCCAGATTTCACATGTTTAGTCCTGAGTCTGGGTACCGGACTCAGACTCGGCTTGTAGAGCACAGAGGAGCAAAAGGAGGGAAAGAAACCCTGGATCCAGATGCATCAGTGTTAATAACGATTTTCCAATACTGCTTTCACATGTGCCAGAAAGAAGAGGGTCTGGTTGATCAGGGTGACTTCAATCTAATAATGGTCCTTGTTCTGTTAAGTAAAAATCTGCCTTTTATGTTATGCTGCTAACATCCAGCACGAATAACAGACACGCCATGGTGAAAACATAATCTCCTGCTAGACGTTTTTCATATCTTTGTATAAAATAAGGAAAGCCGATGTCATGTCAGTATGTTTTTACGTTCAGAATAAAGTAGATTGACATGGTTTGTGCATTTACAGTAAGCCTATAGTACATTTACTGTATGTGAGGAAGTTGAGACCAAACAACAGGCCACGAAGAACATGAATAATACATAATAGAAACACAAAACAAATGTCATTTTACTAAGATATTGTTTCATTCTGTTCTGGCACAAAACAGAATGAATATGATATAGTTACTTCATCATGCTGGCATTAGTAAAGTTTAGGAAGAAACTTTCTACACAAGGTGATGCTTTAAAAAAAAAAAACAGAAACGTATATCTCAGAGTTAAAATACCTTTGTCACAGTTCACTCCGTATGCGTTTGGGTTTTTGCACTCATTACAAGCGAAACCAGAGAATTTATCCTGAAAGACATATCATATTCATATCAGCACAGACTCAATGTGTCAGAATAGAAAGGAGGATATAGACACCGACGTCACAGATGCACGTCCCATTTCCAGTCTCTCCATCAGAACATGAGCCTCTGTAGTTACATGTTTTTCCAGACCAACTTGGACAAGCTGAAAGAGAAAGCAGAAATAATATAATGTTCTTTCCTCACATTTAAATGCTTCTAATGACAATCAAACATTATAACAACAATAATGTTAGTAAGGCCAATGCACAACACAATTTTGATAGTTGTAGATTGTTGACCAAGCAACAACTCAAAAAGATATGCCACGTTCATGAACTCCAGTTAGCAAACATTAGCTCATGTTTGCTAACTAACACAGCTAGCTAGTTATTTTCACAACTAATTCTTAGGACACTGACAAAATTATTTTACGGACATGAAAATACAAGGGATGACCAGGGCATAAAAAATTAAGATTCTCGAAGTTTGCAGAGCTAACAAAAGACTCGCAAAAGTCAAGATTTAATACTCACTTGGGCGAATGATGTCATCACGCACACGTTATTCTTCTGATTCTTGACGTTACTTAGCAACAACGGACTGCTGCACGTGCGACACCAGCTCCGTGGCTAAGCTAATGTTAGCTACACAATTGTGTTTGAACCCACGATATGCACAGCATGTTAGAGGAGATAGTGGACATCCCCTCTATGTGCTGCTGTTGTGGAACACAGAACAGGGACATGGAGCGTGGAGGGAAGGTCGGTCTTAATAAACACTTTGTTTTGTGCTGACCATCAGGAGAAGAGCTGCTCTGGATCGATCCGACTGATTAGTTCTGGCTCTCTGTGTTCATCAGAAGCCTGCCTGTCTCCTGGGGCACACAGGAGAGGACTGTGAAGTAGACAGCTTAGAATTGACAAATGGAATCAATGGAAGATATTCATGTCAAATTGAATCAAAATATCATCAAATATATTAATGTTTGTACATAGCAAAGTCAGCACAGCAGTCTGACAGAAGTCTTGAAGGACTTTACAAGATTGTTGGTTTGCCAAGAAAATGAAACAACCATGATCGTCTTTCAGCAGGAACAAATCTATGGGAATAGAAAAACCTCAAGGAGAACCACAGTGAAATACAGATTCACTCCCATGAATGGACACACTGTAGATGAGTCAAGTGAAAGTTAAAGGATACACATTTCTGTATCATAATTATGTCTGCAGCTCCTCCAAGTCCGTCCAATTTAAACAGTCTGTAGCTTATCAAACATAGAATGTGCTTGTACGGGTATAAATCTGTCAATTTACCTTTCCATTTTTAAGTGATACATTTGGTGTATGTGTTTGGTGTCAACAACACGTACTGTAAGGCTTAAGTGCATCTGTGATCAGTGTTGTCCTTGTTCAAGCTGAGAGTTTGTGCAGACAGGTGAATCTTGGTAGATTTGCAGTCTCTAAAATACTCTGAGAAATGGTGTGTGATCACTTATGCAAACCCCACTTTTAAGTTGTTTATTAACACACAAAAATGCTCCAGTGACCTTAGGTGCTGTTGCATTTTATTACTATTGTTAGCTACTTTTAGAATTACCTATTCATTTGTTTTGTTTGTGTGGATGGATGTGTTTCTGCTGCAACTGGACACCTGAATTTCTCCTACAGGGGATCAGTATAGTATCTATGTTTCCAGAGACACACCCCGCCAAAATAAAGAAATACCATGATTTCTTAGCGAGATGACTGGACTGGATTCGAGGCATTATAGTGTTGCTTGGTGCACGGATAAGAGGCTTAAGCAGAGGGTGAGCAGAGTGGACTGTGGGGAACTAAGACTGGATTTGTGTCTTTAGGGTGCGGAGTGCAGAGGTAAAGACTGGCCAGATAAGGGGAGATATGGGAAAACAGGAACATCTGCTTTCAACAAGTTCACCTGATATAATCCCAAAATACCTTCAAAAGTAGAGAAAATATGTCTGTGATCCCTGAGTCCTACTGTATCTTAAATTATACTCTATTTTAAGTGAAGACATATTGGTCCACCTCCATAATAGTGACATTACCAAAAAATTAAGACTGTAGTATTCTCAAATATTTTTGGAACGGTTTTCTTTAGGAGTTTTTTTTAATGAAATGTTCCTTCGATAATTGAAATCAAAATGGCCGACATTTCTACAGCGTTCCAGCCAAAACAGTGGTTATATCTATTATAAAGATGAACTAAACTGATAAAGTATTTTGTTTTTAAGCTCGGGTTAGAAATTTGCACATCAATTACCCAAACAAGTACAACATCTGAGAAATTGATATGTTAGCGTCTTTAGCAAACCAAAAATCAACATGGGGAAACAGTGGCTCAGTTGGTAGAGCATTGATCTCTGAACCTATTGCTCCACGACCCATGTCTTTCTGTTCCCACTGTCTAGACAGTGGGAACAGAAAGACATGGGTCGTGGAGCTGTACTGTACCCACTGTAGTCTACTGTCGTTGTGCCCCTGGGCAAGACACTTTACCCCACATTGCCTGATGCCCCCGCATCTTCGTCGAAGCAGCAGCTATCTTCCCGTGGACCCACCACCTGCAGGAGGATCAGCGAGGGGCTGTTACCATGTGATTTTGGTGGCAGCTCTGATTGCCACCCACCCAACCCAGAAATAGAATAATAAAGGGGATGAAAATGACAAGACATGACATCAACATTACTACAACCCATTCATGACTTCCACTGTGGGGTATCAATGTGACAACAACAACAACACTGACAAAATGATTTTAAAAAAAATTGCACTGCACACTATTAAAGACCCTATAAAAAGTGTGATTTCTCTGTTCTGACAATGATGAACAACAGTTAGTTTTGATCTGGGTGCACAATATGTTGAAGGCAGGGTGGGAAGCTTGCATTAACATATGAGGTCCACACTGAATATCCACACAAACGTTATTTGCCCAGACATCACACACAGGGAAGAGTTGCGCCATATGCGTCCACTTGGTTTGACAGCATTCCCTCAAACAAAAGAACATAAAGAGCCCACGAGCATATGCATGGTCAAAGTAGACATTAGTAACAAGGTGTGAGCGTTTCTGACAAATAATATAAGCACTATGCACCTAGTGCCAGAGTGGATAGCGCTCTCGCTCCTCTTCTGAGTGGAGTTTGTGTAGGTGTAGCAGCCTAACTTTATAACAATAACTCCCCCAGGAGTCAAGAATAAAGTTTAGAGAGTACATTTATTAAATCAGATCAACAATAAATGAGGAAAACTGACAATCGCATGGAGCCGCACGCAAGATTTATTCTCCACTATAACCTCTCGGCCAATTTCCATATATGGACTTCTTGGCGGTGGCCAGACAACTGATATCTGCTTGACATTATCAGTTTGTCCTTTTCAGCTTGAGATTGTAGATTATCATGACCCGAAAACAAGAACATTAAACATGATTCAAACTTTCAACAACATGGATGCACCGTATTCCCCTACCACTTAAAACTCCCCTCAGCTTTGACACACATCTGGAATGTAGCATTGGACCAAGACCACCATTTTGAATTTGCTCATAGACCGCGGAAGTGATGGCACATTAGTTAGAACGGCGGAGATAGGCTCATGGATGTTTTTGAGCCGGGACCCGCCTCCACTGGTTCAAGCCAGTCTGGCGATACGTCTTGGAAGATTGGAACCTGAGTAGAAGTGTTCCTTTGGCTTTGCTGTGGGTCGAAATATATTCCTGGTGAACAAGACAAGGTAGGTGTGTCCTTTATTGCAAAAACAATTGGTATTACTTTTGTCAAATCAGTCCAAAATAGGACACCCGCGTTACATAGGCACTATGTGCTCTCCACTAGCGTTAGCCGGTTTAACATTGTAAGCTTGGCCGTGAAAGCTAGCGTGTTGGGGAGGGCTGAACAGAAAGAATTAATAGTTACTTAATGTAACGTAAGTTCTACGAATAGGTGCGTAGTCCCTTAGGACTTCGCTAGTGGGATATCACTCGTGACCCCCAGGTCACACGCCAGAGAGATCAAAATAATTTGCTCCAATCACCAGCCACCTTCCTCTATACAGTAGGTCCCATTCCGTTTTGTCGTCTTCATTCACGCTTCTCGGGAATCACGCAGCTGCGTGAAAAATAGTACATCTTATCGCCACAAGGTGGCAGGCTAAGTCCACTTTAGCTCTGCCAGTGACTTAGACGCTCAGGTATAAGACTGCGTGCAAACCTGTCTAGCCCAGAGGTGCTATGTTGGCCCAATGGTTAGCATCAAAGACTGGGACCTGGAGAGCCCAGGTTCGATTCTTGTCTGAGGCACATCTTTTGGTTGCTTGTGGCAAAATTGTTTTTTCATTAAACAATTATTATATAACATCTTGTCTTTAATGTCTGAAAAAATCTAGGTGAAATTCACTAGAATTTATTTAATATACATTAAATATTGTGATATGTTTTGATAAACCGAACGTTACGTTACATCCTCCGCTCAGTGAACGCACTGCCGTCTGGGCTCCGAGCGCGGACCATAGACACGCGGACTCACGTCTCTCTCTCTCTGCTCGCGTCTCTCTCTCTCTGCTCGCGTCTCTCTCTCTCTCTGCTCGCGTCTCTCTCTCTGCTCGCATCTCTCTCTCTCTGCTCGCATCTCTCTCTCTCTGCTCGCATCTCTCTCTCTCTGCTCGCATCTCTCTCTCTCTGCTCGCATCTCTCTCTCTCTCTGCTCGCGTCTCTCTCTCTTGCTCGCGTCTCTCTCTCTCTGCTCACCTTTCTCTCTCTCTGCTCGCGTCTCTCTCTCTCTGCTCACCTCTCTCTCTCTCTGCTCACCTCTCTCTCTCTCTGCTCACGCCTCTCTCTCTCTGCTCACGTCTCTCTCTTTCTGCTCACGTCTCTCTCTCTCTCTGCTCACGTCTCTCTCTGCTCACGTCTCTCTCTGCTCACCTCTCTCTCTCTCTCTCTGCTCACCTCTCTCTCTCTCTCTCTGCTCACGCCTCTCTCTCTCTGCTCGCGTCTCTCTCTTTCTGCTCACGTCTCTCTCTCTCTGCTCGCGTCTCTCTCTGCTCACTGGGTAGTAGCCGTAGTCGGAGGGAGGGGACTGTGACCGGGAGGCATTTTCTTGACTGGTTCCGGCCATCATAGCGGCCCTGATTCTCGATGCGCGGTCAAGATCCATGGTCGCGCTTGGAGTAACGTCCAGTCCCTGTTGGTGGTCTCTACTTACCTGTTGGTGGTGTTCTTTAAGGTTTGCGACGGACTTTCTAGCTTCCGCTAGTTGCCGTTGTAGTTCACCTACCGTGTCTTGAAGCTTTTCTTTCTGAGCTTCGGAGTCGCGCAAGGTTATTCTGGAGACTGCGGCTAGTTGTCCTAGCCACTGGGTTAGGGTCTTACCTTCAAGTTTTTTTGTTATAGCATCGGACACCAAGATGGAGGTGGCATCCTGTAATTCAGAGGGCGAGCCGCTTTCAAGCGTGTCATAGGCCCCCAGGGAGAACTTTTCGGTGAAGTTACGCAGGAAGTTGTCCACTACCTCTCGTTCCTCCATGTCGTCAGTTTGTTTGCTCGGGCATGGCGAGGTGTCGCCATTGTTGTCCATACTTGAGTATGGACAACATGAGTGTGTGTGAAGTGTGATTTCGAGCGCGCGTGCATGACACGGTGGGAGGAGGAAAGGAGGGAAGTAGTATCAGAGTGGGTTGTTTAGCTGTTGTGTGTGTGTCGGTGCGGATCCTGAGGTGTGTGTCAGGCCTTAGTACCTCTTCACCTGCGTATCAGTGAAGAGGGTTGGGGTTAGCAGCGTCGGCGCGCGTAGGAGGGTTTAGTTACGCGCGCGGCAATAGCGTTCAGGGCACTAGCGTAGCGGTAGTGTTAATAGTAGCACTAGTGGTAGCAGTGGCGTCAGAAGTAGCACTAGCGGTAGCAGTTAGCGTTAGCGGTAGCAGGAAAGTTAGCACCAGTCTAAACAACAACAGTAATGCAGTTTAGTAATAGAATGTAGTGAGGAGAAGCAGGAATTTAGCATTAGTCTAAACAACAGAAGCAATGCAGTTTAGTAATCGAAAGTAGTGAGGAGAAACCGGAAGTTAGCATTAGTCTAAACAACAAAGCAATGCAGTTCAGTAATAGCATGTAGTATGGAGACACAGGAAGGTAGCACTAATATCAACAACAGAGCAATGCAGTTTAGTAATAGAATGTAGTGAGGAGAAGCAGGAATTTAGCATTAGTCTAAACAACAGAAGCAATGCAGTTTAGTAATCGAAAGTAGTGAGGAGAAACCGGAAGTTAGCATTAGTCTAAACAACAAAGCAATGCAGTTCAGTAATAGCATGTGGCATGGAGACACAGGAAGGTAGCATTAACACTAGAAAACCCAACCTAAATTGGCCCCTATTTTGAGAAGAGGGAGCTAACTTGCTAGGTTGGCTGCTAACATTTGCATGTATTGATTTGCAAATGTAGGTAATGACTTATAACAGCAGGGGGCTGGGGTGGGCTTTGTTTATTCGTGCGGGGGAGGGAGAGCTGCAAGAGTACTACAGTAGTCTGTGAGACCACAGATACACATGCCATGGCAGTGCTGTGTACCCTGAGAATGCGCTGTATATATTTTGTAATCAGTTTTTCTCAGTGTCTTTGGTGCATTTTTCACATAATTCTTCACATTTTAACAACAGTTAGTGCATTTCTCAGAACAATGAGTGCAAACTGCAAAACCTCATGGATAACCTGCTAAAAAGTCACGAACTTAATTCCTCAAAAGAAAGTCTTCATGTCAATGAAACGGTCTGTGTCTCAAAAGAATAAGTCCTGACATCAGTGTTTATGAACAACAGTCAAATGATTTAGTCATGTTTTCATTGTGACTGTATTTAGTGATACATATGTATGTACTGTATGTTCACATATTTACTGCTTA